GCAGCGGCGCCGCTTTATTGTCCCCAAGGGGACACGTCAGGGGCTCGCAGGGTACGCGGAGGCCACGAAGCGCTGGCCGTCCCCGTAGAAGGAGCTGGTCCAGGAGTAGGTCTGGATGCGGGCGGCTTCGCCCCCCAGGCTCACGCGGCACCTGCGGGGACACGCGGTGACACAGGGACCCCCGGGCGCGGGGTCCGCGGCCACCCGTCCCCAAATGGCACTCACAGCTGGTCCGGGCGGGCTTTGAAGCACAGGGTTTAGAGGGCCAGGTCGAATTCCGGGCTGGAGCCCAGCAGGATGGAGCTGACGCTCTTGAGGTAGCCGCTCCAGCGGAACTGCAGGGCCAGCACGTCGGGGAAGGACGTCCACTGCGGGCAGGGGGACACTGGGGACGGCCGCGGGGCGCAGCGAGGACGGGGGGGACCCTCCGTCCCTTCCCGGGACCCCCAGGGACAGGCAGGTGGTGACAGGACCCCGAGGGGACCCTGGGGATCCCTCGGGAATGGGCGGGAGAAATGGGGTCCCTGGGGACATTCATTCATCAGGGACCCTGGGGATCCCTCGGGAATGGCCAGGGGAAACGGGGTCCCTGGGGACATTCATTCATTAGGGACCCTGGGGATCCCTTGGGAATGGCCGGGGGAAATGGGGACATTCATTCATTAGGGACCCTGGGCATGGCCGTAGGGGGACACAGGGACACCCGTGGTGGGACATAGGCGCCGGGGAGCCGTGTCCCCTCCGGGGTGCCGTGTCCCCGCACTCACGGGCCCGTCGTAGCTGTAGCTCAGGTAGTTGAGCTCTCCCGACTTCTCCAGCTCGTAGAGCTGCACCCAGCTGTGGCAGCCGGACACCTTCCCGTTCTTGATCTCCCCTGGGCACAGCGAGGGCCAGGGTGACACGTCCGCCCCCCCGGTGTCCCCACGTCCCCACCCCGTCCATCCCGGGCTACCGTGGAAGACGTGCTCGAAGCCGGAGGAGTCGAGCGCGGCGCCGCCGGAGCGCGAGTACATCCCGAACCACATGTCCTTGAGGTCCGTCCGGAACGCGGCCTCCGACGGGTACAGCCCTGGGGACAGCGCGATGCCGTGGGGTCCCAAACCCCGGCAGCACCAGCCCCACAGCGTCCCCACCGTCCCCTACCCTTGGCGAGGAAGAAGCTGGTGAGCGTGGCCATGACGGGCGTCGCGAAGACGGCGGCCAGGAACTCCTCTTCCTCCCGCTCCTCCTCGGAGGTCACCGTCTCGCTCTGGCCCGTCATCCGCTCGTAGTTGTCCAGGAGGGCCAGGAAGCGGGAGAAGGTGGCCTTGGAAAAGAGCTCGGCCTCCGCCACGTGCTGGAAGAGCCTGGGAAACGCGCGGACGCAGAGCAGGTGGATACGGGATGGATGAAGGGAAACGGACAGGAGGGGGAAAGGACAGAGAGATGGACAGGCATGGATGGAGGAGGGATGGATGGATAGATGGATGGATGGACGGATAGATGGAGGGATGCATGGGTGGATGGATGGATAGGTAGGTACATAGACAGACAGATAGGTAACCAGTTAGATGTTTGGAGGAGGGATGGACAGATAGATGCATGGATGGACGGATAGATGGAGGGATGCATGGGTGGATGGATGGATAGGTAGGTACATAGACAGACAGATAGGTAACCAGTTAGATGTTTGGAGGAGGGATGGACAGATAGATGCATGGATGGACGGATAGATGGAGGGATGCATGGGTGGATGGATGGATAGGTAGGTACATAGACAGACAGATAGGTAACCAGTTAGATGTTTGGAGGAGGGATGGACAGATAGATGCATGGATGGACGGATAGATGGAGGGATGCATGGGTGGATGGATGGATAGGTAGGTACATAGACAGACAGATAGGTAACCAGTTAGATGTTTGGAGGAGGGATGGACAGATAGATGCATGGATGGACGGATAGATGGAGGGATGCATGGGTGGATGGATGGATAGGTAGGTAGATAGACAGACAGACAGACAGGTAACCAGTTAGAGGGACAGATGGGTGGACAAACCCAGACGGGACGGACAGACGGACGACCCAAAGGATCCCCCCGCCACCGGGCACCTCTGGGAGGCGAAGTCGGCGCCGGCGCTGGCCTCGGCGCTGGTCACTTGGTGCTGCAGGTCGACCACGACGTCCCCGCGGGCCGCCCGGTTCAGATAGATGCATGGATGGACGGATAGATGGATGGACGGACGGATAGACGGATGGATGGATGGATAGATAGGTAGGTAGATAGACAGACAGACAGGTAACCAGTTAGATGTTTGGAGGAGGGATGGACGGATAGATGGATGGATGGACAGATAGATGCATGGATGGATAGGTAGGTAGATAGACA